ACTCAACAATAAAAATAGTCAGATCAAATGGGCAAATGTTTGAGTTACCTTTGTTTTAATCTTCACTATGCCTACCTGCCTTTTCTAAGTTTAGCAAGCATGTCTTAACTGATCTAGAAGAATGTCTTTCATTCTAAACCGCATTTGCTGCCAGGCTGGCCTATTAAGACCAACCTTCCCCCAAGGACATTCCCAAATTCTCTGGCATGGAGAGCTTAATGATGTGAAGGGAGAACATTGATCTGCAGATACTTGTCACTGCAGCATGCTGTTCCCTCCTCCTCCCCCACCTAGGATCTTTATTTAGGGTTCGACTCATTTCACATCCCCCATCACAGTGACTCCTCTATTAAGGGGCCAGGAGGTACTAGTGTTCTGCATGGCTCATCAAGCTTTCCTCTGTTTAAAGGAATGACTCAAGAGTACTGGCTCTCTTCCTTTCCCTTTCTTGTCATCCAAAAAGCTGCCACTGGCTGAGTTTACATGTCTCTTTCTATCAGAAAGTTACTGGAAGACATGTGTTTGACAAAGGGATCAAAAACACAGGCACTTCTCTCCTTTTCTTGCCATCTTCTCTCTCCATCTCCATTTCCCTTCTTTCCAATTCGTTTTCTACCCTATCCCTTTCCATTGCATGAGTTCTCCAGATTGGCCTTGAAGAGCTCATGTATACTCCATCCACCTTCTCCAAGGCCATTGCTGACACAAAAATACATACTTAAGGAACAAATGCTTCTTTTTTTCTGTGGTCACAGTGGCAGGTCTGAGCTGATAGGGTTAGAAACATAACAAAGGGGGGACTTCCAAAAGTTGATTCTCCCATATTCAGCTCATAAATGCCCCACAATTAGACCTACCTATCCTACCTATGCAGCAATGCTCTCATTAAGCACAACAGGGCATTGGGGTGCATTGCTAAAATGAGAAAAAATGCCATTCTCACCCACACAAATGAGGAAAAACTAAAAGGACATTCCCTAAGCAGGGGAACAGGAACTCCTATTCCTCTGAACCTGAGTGGCATGTTTCTTGTTCTCAAAATGCGGTGGCGAACTAAAATATAATTAACAGCCCGGAGACCGAGCCGCTCCAGACAGTTGATAATAGGAACCTACATAGGCGATGCATCGGGAAGCCAAATAATTGCACCTTTTTCACATTTACACAGATAATACCAGCAAAAAAGCTAGTACTTAAAGTCTCAGGTGACCAGGGTCAATCCATGTGCCTTTTCCTCTGTGTGTGTGTGTGTGTGTGTGTGTGTGTGTGTGTGTGTGTTGAAATATTCTGTCTTTCTAGAAACTACCTGCCAAAACAGCAAACATACCAGTATGGATTACAAAATGCAGTGTGGTTTCAAAAATAAGATCAATCTACTAAGGGGAACCTTTTCATCCACCTAGGGAAAAGCCTTACATCGATCTCGACATTCACAATACTAACCCACCCAATACAAAGTTCTCCAGATGCTATGGGGATAGTGTACTTGGTGGTAGGGAATTAGACATAGCCTGAGGTAGGATGGGACTAATCGCACCTGCTTTTGCCTTTATATAATCCTCACTTTCTCAGAACTATTATCTCTTTGGCCCACCTCAATGGTTTTCTGGCTGTTGACCTTAATTGAGGTCCAAAACTGATTGATATTTTAACAACAGTGCTAGGAGCAGGCTAGTTGCAACAAATGCCTCTCTTCACATAGCTCTATTACTCACAGCTATGTCCATAAATATAACAACATCAGGACTAAGAGAGGAAGAGAAAAAAAAATCCATGGTTGATTAAATGTTTGGTATCATACAGGGAGACCCTTAATTTATTTAGGGACATCTTCTCCTTCCCTCTCCCAGTCAAGGACCAGGTAGATTCTGTACAAGCTTCCATTCTCCAAGGACTTGACAGGAGTCTATCTCAGGAACTCAGTACTGAGAATAAAAGAGGAGTTCTTAACTTGGGGACCATGAACTCATTTTTTTTAATATTTTTACAATGATATTTCACTATAATTTGTTTCTTTTGTAATCCTTTGTATTTTATTTTCTGCATTTGAAAACATTCTTCTGAGAAGGTGTCCATAGACTTCAGTAGACTGTCAAAGGGGTCCCTGACATGACCTAGGTGACCACAGGTCTAAAGTTCATAAAGGTCCATGAAGAACCCCAGTCCAGTCTCCCATCCATCACCCGCTCAAAGACTGCCTTGTCAAATCTCCTCATTTCTTCCCCCAAGGGTTTAGCCACACAAGTGAACATTAACCAATCACTTAACCTCTCTGAACCTCAATTTATTCACCTGTAAAGTGGGGCTAACAATAGCTTGAGAAGTGATCTCACAGAGTTGTTGGGAGGCTCACACAAGGTCATACATGTAAAATACTTTGCACACTTGATGTCTCAACATTAGACACGAACAAAAGGCCCGCAGATTTATGAACCTCAGTCACGGCTCTCTAAGGCAGAAGAGTGGACTAACTCAGTTTGAGGAGAATTTTCAACAAGAGCAGCGACAAAAAGGAGTTTGTTCTTGGCCTTTAATTAAATTCACAATATGAATACCGAAACCTTCTCGATTACGTGAGATTTTATGATACTCGTTGTGATAAATAGTGTGATGCTATATACTAAGTTATTTATGGAAGCTCTTCTTGTGGTCATAAGAAACTTGGAAGAAAGTCAACGCCCTCCGTGGAGGAAGGGCTGGACAGAATATGTTACATGGACAAAATGGAATGCTATAGTACAGGAGGAAACGATGAAGGGGAAGAATCTGGTGAAACTTGGAAAAATATGAAGAAATTGATTATTTGGGGGGACATGAGGGAGGGTTAGATCTGTGACTTCCTAGGTATAATAAACCACTCCCATGGCCCCTGCTCCAAGCAACTGAAATAAGATATAGGAAAATAATCAGAACCAAGAAAGCAAGTTGCAAAGAAGCCACACAGAGTTAAATAGAAGGGAAAAAAAACATTAAATCACAACAGAATCTAGATCAATGCCATGGCCAATCTTGTCTATAAAGGACTGAAGATGAAATACTCTTCTCTCCACTCAGAAAAGACATAGCAGAATAAAGCACATTCTGCCAGACACGGTGAATGTGTCATGTTGTTTTGCTTAACTATAATTCTTTGTTTCAAGAGAGAGTTCTATTGGAGGAGTGTTTAAAGAAATGATAGCAATGTTTTAAAAAGCATCAATAAAACATTTAAATAAATAGGTAACCAAATGAATAAGTGAATGAATAAATAAGTGAATGAATGAATAAAAGGGTGCTTTAATAACCTGAAAATAGCTCCAAATTGTGAACTATTGCATTACTACCTTCTGGTATAACCATCCTACCTACCTACATATATAATGACACACCCACACATAAACACATACTCAATTGGAGGCAGTATAGTTCAATGGAAAGAATATTTGATTTAGAGTGACAGGACCAGGATTCAAATCATGCCTTTGTAACCTTCTATATGTATGACCTCAGACAAGTCCTTTTACCTCTTGGGGCCTCAATACTTTATCTATGAAATGAAACAAAATGAAATTAAATTCCTCATCTATGAAATGGAATAAATGGCTTCTAACATCCCTTCCAAATCTCAATCTCTGATCCTATCACCATATCATACAATATTCACCCAAACTGTTAATAAGCACAGCTCTTACCTATAGGATGAAAAAACATCTGTATGCAAAGATTTGAGAGGTACCACAAAGCAAGATCCGTGTGCTAGAAAACATGTTCCATTCTTGCCTATTCTTAACTCTTGAAATAATATAGAAAATCACGAGACCATAGGCTCACGGCTCTGGAGGTGGAAAGAATCTTCTTGGTAATCATCTAGTTCAAAACCCTTTTATATAAATGAGGAAACTGAGGCATCAAGAGGATATTACTGTCCCAAGGAACGTCATGCAGGAACTAAATGCAAAGTCAGCACTCAAACTCAGGTCCTATGACTACAAATTTAGCATTTCTTGTACCACACCATGCTGGCTTAATTCATTTTTGCATGGTAATTATTAATCTCTCTTAAATTTCATACATTTCTAGAAAGGGTAATGTATCTAAAATCTAATTTTTATTTGTCTTTTTTATATCACCTTCATTTCTGCATATATGCCTTCCTCCTCTACCAAGAGAGACATCTGTAACAAAAGTAAAGAAGAAGAAGAACAAAGAGCTGGGGTGGGAGGGAAGGCATTTCAGCAAAACAATCCAGCAAAACTTATCAATTGAGTTTGATGGTATATGGAATGATCTGCATACATAGTATATCCTCTCACCTCTGCAAAAAATGTTGAGTGAGGTCAAATTAGGTGTACTAGAGAACTTTCTCTGACCATAAAAATATATCCAAAGGAGACAGGTCATCAGACAACTGCCTGGAGAAAGGGAGGCCAGCTAAGAAAGGGGAACATTAAAAGGGAGGAAAGACTACAGAAAGGATTGGGGGCATGTGAAGACAAAATCTGCCCCCTTCACTATTTTATCCATGGACAGCCCTGCTATAAATGACATCCACAGTTGTGATAAAATACCTCCCCATAGGAGTTTATAATGCATACATGAAAATTATGTCTTTCCCCTTCTGATTATTTTATAATTAATCTCAGATCCAAAGAGTAACAGCTGATATGCAACAGTAACTTTGAACACATAGCACTATACTAGTTTCTACATTTCCCTACTTAATAATCAATGGCTACATTCCTCTTTATGTTACCGAAAGACTCTCTGATTATAGAACTAGTCAAAATATCTATTGCCTCCAAACACTCTTCGAATAAACATCCTGATAAAACCAGTAGCATTAGGAAAGTGAATGGTTATGTTTACCATCACTAGTCATATTGTAAGTAAGAATAAACCACTTTTATAGTAACATGCAGCAGAAGCCAAGGATAAATGTTTGCATTATAGCATATCCATCTAAATTCCAGATAGGAATGAGAAACGGAATGACATATCACAAGTAAAATTCAGGTACCTACTTTGGCAGTCATTTTGGCCAAAAGCTCTTGCAAATCCATTATCCCTTGCACCAGGCTTAAGAAATCACTGCAGGTTGGACATGCTCAATAAAGAAAATAAAGACATATATGTCAATGCAGAGTCAATATATGGTAAGAAGAAACAGAAAAACAGCATTTACTTGGTTTCCTAGTGACATGCGTGTGTGTGTGTGTGAGAGAGAGAGAGAGAAAGAGAAACAGACAGACAGAGAAACAGAGAGAGACAGAAAGAGAGACACACACACAGAGACAGAGGGAGAAATAGCATCAGAGAAATATAGAGACAAAAGCAGAGTGAGAGACGGAGATAAGAACTAGAGTGAAATCTAAGTGAATTTCAAATCTGGAACTTTTTGCTGACAGACAAGAATAGGGGACTAGAAAGAGAGTATTATCTAAACAGAAGGAAAATGGGTCCAGTATGATTCAAAAAATATGTGTTGAGTACTTATGCTCTTAAGCCAGGCACTTTGCTTGATGTTGAGAACCCAAAGAAAAAAGCCAATTGCCCTCTCCCTTAAGGAGAGTTATTACCAGCTATAGATTACTGGAAGATTACAAGCTACTGTGGGAACATAATATGTGCAAAAGACTAGTAAGTGCCAAATATATAGCAAATAAGGTGGAGAGAGCTCTTTGGGGGAAGTAAAGAGGGGGAGGGGCTAGAAGGTACTGGGTGTGGCTGCTGTACTACATGCTGAAGGAAACTAGGGAATGTACACCAGCCTATACATGGCATGCCTATGCAATTCATAGTGGCCCTACTATGCGAAGGCACTGAGACAAGATGGAATGTCATGTAGGGCAAACTTCTCCAACATCAGTTTGATTTGAATAGAGAGATCATGAAGGGAAGAAATATTAAACAAGACTGGAAAGGTAGGTGGCAAACAGATTGTGGATGGCCCTTTATGGCAGAATAGGACTCTGTATTTTATCCTAGAGGCAATAAAGAGCCATTGGAAATTTTCAAGTAGGCACCTGACATGTATTTTGGAACAACAACAATTAGAACAATTGTTGAGTGCTATCAATAAGCAAGGCTGGGAAACCTGCAGAATTGAGGCCACATATAACCTTCTAGATCCATGGGTGCTGTCTTTTTACTGAGTCCAAGTTTTCCAGAACAAATTCTTTTATTAAGGGGATTTGTTCTGTGAAGTTTAGATTTAGTCAAAAGGCTGCACTTGAGGACCTAAAGAGCCACTTGTGACCTTGAAGTCTCAGGTTTCCCACCCCTGTGCTAGGCATTAAAACTGAAGTAAATATTGTAGTCTAAAAACATTATTTCTACAGTTTTTAACAGTCAATATAGCCAGACTCCAGCTGTTGGTCTAAAAATATCATGTTTATAGAACCTAAGCCATTAATAGATCATTGCAATCTGCACATTCTCAAGTCAACAAGCTGCTACTTACTGCGATTCAGATTAGGACATTGTGTTATGTATCCATTTGGCATGAAGATGACTTTCACATCTTGAATGACACCCTTTAAAACAGAAGAGATAGCTGGTAATATATATTGTACTCAAACAATTATAATCACATTTATTCTAGGAACATATACCAGGCTGGAAGAGCCCATTAGAGGCTATGCCCCAGATTTTAAAGATGAGAAACTGAGGCCCAGAGAAAATAAGTGACTTATCCAAGGTCACACAGGTCAAAAGTCGCACAACTAGGATTCAAACCCAGGTTCTTCAAGTAGAATCCAGCGTGTGTTGCACTGTTCCAGAGTCAGTCACAAACTTTATAAGGGCCTAGAGTGGCTGAAAAAAAAAATCATCATTTTTAGAAAAGCAGAATTTATTCATTGAAGAATTGAATTGGACCTAGCCCCTAGGACTAGATTCCAAAGCCTATTTTCCAAACTACTTTCTTTCTTGAAATACTTGTATGTTTGCTTTGCTTAGGGAGACCACTACAAGTTACCACTGGTTAGCACTAATGGAGTTCTTGGTACCAATATTCCACTGGTAATTTTTTCTAAACTATCTCTGATCAAAAGGAAATTGAAGAAAAATCCCCCATCATCCCTGAACATTAGCTGACATTGACATGTGGTTGGAGGAATGAAGGTTGCTTATTTAAGCGGTAGTGAAAGAAGGATGATAGACATGTATGAGTGTAATGCATTCATTTTGATTCATTTGGTCCAGGAAATAAAATTACACATAGAAAGAACTCCACAACAATCTCAGTTAATCAAGGAAGGCAACTTGGGATTTGCCGGTGAATTCTGAGATTTGTTCAATGTCTTGCTGTAAGCGAGAGGCCGTCCGCTGCCCCGCCTCCACAACTTGATATGGAAGAACGATTCTAATTTGAGGCAAAATTCATCAGGATTGCCATTTTGCAATGAAAATATTGATTTGGCTGTTGGTTTTCTCTTTTTCCCCAAGTTGAAATATGTGATTTTTTTTTTTTCAGATTTGACGGAAGAGGTATTATACAACAGATGGAAGACACGGAAGCTGGTTGAGAATATTGAGTTTAACCTATAAATAAAATATAGGCTCAAGATAGTACTGCAGATCCTTCAGAGGGAGTAACATTTAACATTTATGTGCTCATCTCCTAAAACAGCAGAAGGTAATCAGCAAAGGCTGCTTCCTGCTTGTTATTTTAAGTTAAAATATTAATTGGAATTATTAATAGAGATAACAAAATCTCAGTACTTGGTTCATTGAATCTACATCCATGTTAACCTCTTCTTCAAGAAAGGTAGTGTTCATGGTTATGATGGGAGGAAACAACATGATTATTGTTAGAAGCCCTCCACAGTGCTTCTCAATATTAATTCATTATTGCTGGTTGGCAATTAGGAGGGGGCCATCAGCTGGCCTCGATCCAGTGTGTTCTCTGAAAAGAATAACTGCTCCTCCCCTACCCACAAGCAAACTAACTCTTTCAAAGGACAAGTGCCTTCTTCAGGACATTAGAATGACATGGTATTGTTTAAAAAGAATTGGGCTAAGAGTTCAGAGGCCTGGATTTTAATCCTGGTGATGATGATGATGATGATGATGATGATGATGAAAGTAATAATAAAACACCTAGAATTTATATAGTGTTTAAGGTCTTCAAAACACTTCAAAAATATTTAATTTTATCCTCACAACCACTCTGGGAGGTAGGTGCTATTATTATCCCCATTTTACAGATGAGAACACACGGAGAATTTAAGTGACTTGCCCAGGGTCACACAGTGTCTAAGGCTGGATTTGAACTCAGGTCTTCTGATTCCAGGTTCAATGCTCTATCCACTCCACCATCTAGGTGCTTTTATTTGTAAAGCACTTAGCACAGCACCTTACACATAGTAGGTACTTAAGAAATGTTTGTTTTCTTCCTTTTTCCAATGACTGAGCGCTCACTTCCCTTCTCTGCATCTCCTCCTCTTAAATGAGGGAACTAGACCAAATGAATTTAAGGCTCCCCAAGAAGGTGGTATGTATAGAGCACAGGCTCCAGAATGAGGATGTAGGTTCAAATCCTACCTTTGTCACTTCCTACTAGTATGACCTTGGCCACATTTGAAAATAAGAAGGTTGAAATAAATGACCTCTAAGGTCACTTCCAGGTCAAGATTAATGACTCTCTGATCCTTTTAGTTATTAAAACCCAATGAGTCTATGGAAATGTCAACTGAACCGAAGTTCCCACAATCCCAAGCTTTATAACATAGTAAGTCTCATCTATCCTTCAAGCACAAAATCTTAGTAGGGCTGAAGAGAGTGAAAGAATACCATCGAGGAACAGAATGTCAGAGGGTTTCTTGTTGTGGTTTTCACGGTGGACAGGTCCCGGCATCTGTCCTGTGATTTCATTGCTGTAGGAAACCCCCCACTCTACCTATGCAGATTAATGCCTGATTTGTAAATTATAGTCTTAGAGAGTTCTCTGTGGCACTGAGATCTTAAGTGAACTGGCCAGTGGCACACAACCAGTAGGTGCCAAACTCTGAGACTGTCTCTTATCAGGTTGGAGGTAGGGAAATCAAGGACCAGTTGGAAAAAATCAGTTCATCTTGAAAGAGTGTGCTTTGTCTTGAGATGGGTCACATCCATTCTTCACACAGTTGACAAAAATACCACAGAGTCCCATTCCTACGCATAGGAGTCCTAAGGAGGCCTGACTTGTACTCAGAACTGAGGGCAGATAGGACATTAGTGTTCATCGGTTTTCAATGACATCAGTGACTTCATTACAAATGATGGCCCATTTGTGCTGCATTGATGAAATACATATGTAGGTAAAAGGATAGTGACTGCCCAGTGTCTTTCACTAAGTCATAGCTGTTCTGGGGATCTCATCTTGTTTTTGCAGATGAACTGCTCATAAATATACATACACACACACACACACACACACACACAGAAAGAGATTGCACAGTTTGACTTGTCAATGGGGTTTAGGTATCCTTGAGATGCTTAATATTAAGCTTGAAATAAGAAAGTAAAAGCTCTCCCCAACTCCTTCCATTTTGGAAATTTAGGATTTCTATAGATTAACGTGTGTGAAGCATCCCAATTTACTTCATAGGAAAACTGAATTAAAAAAAAAAAGAAAGAATTTATCTTATTTTTCCCTCATTTAACTTTCTTCATAACCTGGAGCAATGTAGCACTATATTTGGCATCAGAAGAACTAGATTTGAATACTAGGTCTCCTAATTACTATCTGGAATATTTGGGAGAAAGCTCAAACTTTTTGAGCTTTGGTTTCCTTATCCATAAAATGGGGATAATAAATAAAATGGAAGTTGTACTTACCTCGCAGGGTTGTTACAAAAATCAAATGAGGTAATCAAGATAAAATGTTTTATAAACCATAAAATCCTATACAAATATGTCATTATTATAAATATCTGTAAGATGAGGGATTGGGCTAAATGATTTTTAAGGTATGTTCCAACTTTAAATCCTATAAAAATACAACTCTACCTCATAATCAAATTGTTGTTGTTGAGTTGTTTTGGCAATCAACTCCTCATGTTCAACTCTTCCTGACTCCATATGGGATTTTCTTGGCAGAGATACTGGAGCGGTTTGCCATTTTCTTCTCTGGCTCATTTTATAGATGAGGAAACTGAGGCAAACAGAGGTTAAGTGACTTGCCCAGGGTCACACAAATAGTCTGAGGTTGGATTTGAACTCAGGAACATGAGTCTTCCTGACACCACCCAGACCCACTGCATCACCTGGCTGCCCACCACATTAGCAAATCTGGCCTATTTCCAAGCTCTTATTCAGACCGTTTTGTTATCTCAGCTTATACACACACCAACCACCTCATGTCCATGTTACTGGGTCTCAGTTTCCTCATCTGTAAAATTAAGGAGCTGGACAAGATAATCCCTGTTTCATTCCTTTGAGCTCTAAATCTATGATGCTATGGCTTCTATAAATCTCTTTGGCCAATGTGGGCACCAAGGTGGTGCAGTGAATAGAGTAATGGACCTGAAGTCAAGACAACCTGAGCTCAAATCCAGTCTTAACCTCTGTCTGATTTTGTTTCCTGATCTATACAAAAAGGATAATAATAGCACCTACCTCCTAGAATTGTTATGAGGATAAAATGAGGTAATGTTTGTAAAGCACTTGGCAAAACGTAAAACTCTAAATAAATGCTAGATATCAATATTGTTACTATTATTACTTTCAAAGAGCATTTGACCACCAGAAAATTTCAAGTGATTAGAAGAAAATATTAAAAATCTTGCCAGTATTCTGTGTAAATTAGAATTAATGAAAAGTCCCACCAGTACGGTATATAACAAAAATGCAGTCATATTGCCTCTATGTTCCTAGTGTTATCATCCTCTTAAAAGGGGGAACACATTCTAACTCATCCCACCTTCAAGGGAAGTAGAATGTGCACCTGGTCCCCCAATAACACTAGCATTGGCTTACAAGGTTTTGCCAGACAGCAGTCCAGACTTGCTTTAATGACTAGATGAAAAGCAACCATACTTAAAACTTCAATTGCTTACAAACAAAAAAAATATTAAAAGACAGTTATTATAATGTCTGAAAAATAATTTGGTGGGTGAGTTTCTATGCATGTGAATATACACATGTTTAAATGATAGGCTAACACCTTCTTTGCAATCTTGTCTATTCTATCGATTTGCTCTGTAAGCCTTTTTTTATCCTCCAACAGTGGTGCGATATTTCACTTCAGCCCAGTCTGGCATCCTGAAATGTCACAAATCCTTAATGAGGGGTGTCTAAATTACTGAGGTTTGGTTGTTAATAGGATGGCATCATGCCAAGAAGAGGAAACAGGTTGCTATCTTTTCTTTAGTCAATTCACCTGGTGTTACCCACTACGGTCTTCTTTTGGGTAATGGTGCATTGAGAAATTGACTTGGAATAGGTAAGTGGCCCATTATGAGTTTTTAATGTTCAAGAAACTCATATGTATTATTCCCACAATTCCCAGAAAATTTCCCATTTTGCAGTTAGAAGGGGAAGATGCATACAC